GGTATTTGCACCCCCGGTCTTTGTGCAGCTGTCCCAGATTCAAATCATATTATTACTTCTAGCCCAATATAATTGACTATCAGGAATATCTGTGCATTACTACATTTTCGTGATTTGAGAATGTTCGACCCCATACTAACAAACAAGCAATTACAAATTCCTACGGAATGAAAAGCCTCCTACCGGTGAGCAGTGGTCATTAAGAATTTCAGGAACGACAAAACGTACAATTATTCAAAGATGTTCTAACCTTAATCTTATCTTTCGGAATCGATAACATCAACCTTAAACCGAGTAGTTTGTCATGTTCAACTTTAGGTGAAATAACTGTAAGTTAAAGTCGATTCAGTAGCTGCGATCTACAAGCAGCAGCGCGAGTGACTNACAAATTGACGCACTTAACAAAATATCTCTTTAACCGAAATTGATTGGTCCTTTACAACGAAATCAAATAAACCACTGACTGAACATCTACTTGAGTAATGAAACAGTCACAAGTTCAGTCGAACCGATAGTGGCAAACTATATAACTTTCCGAACATTGGAACTCGGTTAACCACTGAAAAGACTGACTATAAACTGCATTATACGCGGTAAAAGTTAAAGGCACGTATATTAGAACAGTTCAGCCGAGAGTATAGTTACACTTAAACTCCGCTGTGATTCACGCAGGCCAGGGGAGTTTGCGACTGAACGGGAGCACTGGAAATCGATGATCAATTTTATTCACACAACTCTTCATGGTTTGTCAAACCATATTGCATGACTGAATTCAAATATATGAGGACAAAATATTTTCGCTAATCCATATTATTAGATCGAGTATTCAGTAAACCTGGGTGGGGGGGGAATCAATAATTAGAGCTTTTCCCAAAGGTAAATCAAACTGACTGTGAGCTACGATTTCCTCGATGGTTGGTTGTCATTGCCGTTGATTTTTGTTATTAATATTATTATCACAAGCAATAAATTTGGTGCTCCTATCCAACCACACAACTTTGAACGCTTATCCCATTCACCATCATTCGGATGATTGGGTAAAATCGATATTCATTTTTTCGATACCACTGTTCTCCGGTAATTGGGAGTGAGGATCAAGAACTAGCAGTGAGGGTTGAGTTGAATGAAGCAAGCAAATTCATTGAACTCTTGGGGAACTAATTCCATTTTCCACGGGTTAATAATGTCTACTTGAAGGCTGTTCGAATCTTCACAATTGATGAAAACTTCTGTCACGGAATCATGCCATTTCACCGCACTGAAGCAGAGTATGAGCACCTGATTGGATTGCTCCTTGTTAATGGAACAAAACATTGTTCCGCGGTATTTGGAATCACTTTATTGGCCAAAAATATTCCCCCATTGTTTTAAATTAGTCTAAACAATTTCGTTTATCAAACAAGAATTGTTTGTACAATGTCGTTGAAATGTGTTACCTCATGAGGCGAAAATAATTCTGACGTATGATTGCACAGGAGGAGGGACATTTCGGCTCTGGAAAAGGGTCGGTCTCCATCGGCTTACTCCAGGACCCCGATCATCTTTACTGTTATCGAATTTAAAATGTGCACAAGTTTAACATAATGCAATATTTCACTACGTGGGCATTTGTTATAGAGAGCCAAAAGGTCACTATAGCATTTTATGCCTCGTAAACTCATAGTTAGTGATAGGTACTCCATTATCATCATCCATGGAGGTATTCGAGATTCTCTGAGACTGGAAATCGGACAAAGAGATTTGGGATATAAACAGTGAGTTATACAGATAATCTATTCCAATTGAATTTATCTGCTGTCTCTCGTGTATAAACCATGTAATTTATTATTTACTAATCTGCGTCGTCAGGTAATTTTGAGCTTTTGACACTGACCGTTGAAATCCCGTCTGACGAGATTTGTTTTTCATTCGTCTTTGTCCAATGCGGTTTTTACTAGTTGTGGATTTTTTCCTGCATGAAAACAAATTGTATAACTACATTTGCTTTTTCACACCGTAAATTTGTCTATAATCCAACCAGGATGCTATAGGTTTCCCCGCACAATAAAAGCTCTAACCGTTTGTACTTCCGCGGCTCACCCTTGATCCACAAACACTTTGAATAAATGCAACAGGGTCAAACTAGTACTACGGCATTCCCGTGCGGGTTTTTATGAAATACTGTTTGGTTCTCCGATGTGAGCTGGGAATTCAAAATTGAATCAAACACCGTACGACCAAGAAGGAACTCCGTTTCCACCATGTATGAAAGCTTTTTATGTATGAAGTTTGAAAACTGCATTCTTCATGCAATTCCGTGCACATAAGTCCAACGAATCCTCATCGTTGGATTTTGGCACTGCTTTTGGACAAGAAAAGCAACACAAATGATCCATCTGAACGACTCCGTTGAGTGGAAACCGGGTTACAAAGGATCGTGTAACGTATAGCATAACATTCGGCTGGAACAAACAATAAGCAAGATGTTCTCCACTGGACTTGTGATACTTGTTTTAAGATCGGTTGCGTTCAAACCACGCGACGGTTAGCGAAAAGCACCTTGATTGCATGATTTGTTTTATTCATGATCCAAAATTTCCTGTTATCTTTGTTAGGAAAGAGTATTCTGTTGTTTTTGTTTACACGTTTCCGGTCATGTTCCGAACTGTGTTTTTTCTGCATTTTCCGAAAAACGGTGTTCTGTCATTGTTTGAAATTTGTACATCTGGTACAAACAGAATGAAGCAGTCTCCCATGTTGAAAGTTCGTCAGATTTCCCGATAATCCTTCTATGGAGAATCAAAGCAATTTCAAACACAAATAAGTCGAAATATATGTATATAACACCGAACTACAACAGTCGATACTGTACTAAAGAACATACAGCTTTATTGAGCTTTACATCTGTGCGAGAAATCAATGCGTTTATTTGGTCAAAAATGGACCTTTCCCTTCGTTAATGCATGTGGCAAACAGTGCTAAACAAATCTTCCAATCTTGCTTCCATAAGATGAATCCTTACCCATGTCAAACTCTGTGATTGCAAGGGTAATTATTGAAACGCATCGGTTCGCAGTCTCAATAATGTTCATCTTCAAATGATGGTTGGAATGGAATGGTCCATGCATAAGAAAGAATTGGTGCTACTAAGAATAATGAATGAAAGCCAAACCTCTCTGAGAGGTTTCAGTTGTAACGGTTCTTCTTAGTGTATGCGGTCCTGCTAACATCATGCACTTTCACCACTCTATTCTCCATAGAATATCAGTTGTATTGCGCTACAAAAGTGTTTGATTCAAGTGAACCAAGTTGGCACGAAATCGCCCAGAAACGTTATTGATGAAGAAAACAAAAAAAGCGAGGTTATCTAGAATAGAACGAGTAATTTACACCGGAAAGGAATTTTCGGGTATAAAATCCCGCTAAATTGGA